ATACAGAAAATACTGAGCATTCTCAATAGTGTTGGAGGGATGAATGTGGGAGGAGTCAAATTTAGCTTTTAAGGGTGATGAGTGATAAGCAGAGAAATGTGTGTTCACCTTAGATACCTCATATTTCTCTCCTCTTTTAGAACATTAGAAAGACTGAAAAAATCATGGTCTCTTTTACCCTACTTTTTTCTTCTTTGTTTTAAGAAGATGAGAACCTATTTCTTACTGTTATATAGATAAACTGTACAAGGAATGGGGGAAAGAGAGAGACTGCATCTCTTCATGAATAGTTAGGATATGTTAACATATATAAGGGATAAATCTTATAGACATCTATTCATGTATACTGACTGACTTCTAGATGTTTCTGTAACTGGCAGCTAGTAAGAAAAATGAATGTCCTTAAAATTCCCCCCTTCTCTTGTGCAGAAGGGTTTTGTCAATTGAGACTTATTAAAAACTCTGTAAGAGAGGCCTGTTATTATTTTAAATGACTATATCAGTTTTGATGATGCTAATAAGATGTTCTGAAAAATACAATGAGGGCTTGAAAATACTTGGGTAGATACAAAGCTGTATTTAATGCAGTGTTAGAGAAATAGCTCCATTCTAATTGTGCTTTTTGTGGACAAAATATGATTATGGTTTAAAATCACTATGTGCTTCATGTCACTACTTGGACATTCTTTAGTTTTTTAGTGATTTCATTATCTGCATGTTTTAGTGAGAAAAATAAGTGTCCCCAAAAGACAAATTCTTTCCATGACACAAACTGTCAGATGGTCTAGTTATGGTCTGATGCTAATAACTTCGCTTTTTTAATTACAATTAATGTTTTTCATTTTCCTTCCAGTTCTACCTTTACAAATGCATAAAAATAAGGAATGTTTTTCTGTTTGCATGATTGTTCATTTTGATTGGTCATTATTATTCTTGCATTTGTTTTCCACTTCTGTCTCCTGTCAGTTCAAATCAACTAAAAATATTAAATACTGTAATGTTCCAGAAACATTCAAATAATGGATAATTCTGTGCATGCCCTTCCTTTGTGGCAGCAAAATTTGTCACCCTCAAATGACTGTGAAACTGAGCTACACCTTAGTCTTAGATATCACTTCCTTTCACAGTCATTTTGCCAGTGTGTCAAATCAGTAGTTCATCCTTTGTGTTATCTGGGAGTTTCCTATCACTTTTATCAAAGAAAGGCAAATCATATGAGAAATGTACCAAACTGATATCCATCATAGCATAATAGCAATACATGACACTTACAGATGAAGACAGATTGCATTGCAAGAGCTCTGCTCTAGGTTATGATGATTTAATTGCATATTTTTACTTTTTTAACAGAATGTACACACCTTGAAGGGAACTTTGTACAGGCCTATGCAGAAGTTGCTTGACACATTATAAAGAACATTATAAAGTGCACATTATAAAGAATTGAGTGGAAACATCTAGCAAGGATTCTAGCTTGGATTTGCTTTGTTACCTTTTGCAAACTTTTTGATCTCTTTGAGCCTCAGATCCTTGGTCTCTTAAACAAAGGGATTTTTATCAGTTCAAATGTTTATTTTTATTATTAAGCCACAGATCACTGTAAAGTATAAGGACAAAAAAAACAGAGTCATTCCTAACCACCTATCAGAGTGTCTGGAACATTATAGTGTTTAACATGTGTAAGTTGAATTGAATTGAATTTGGTCCATCAAAATTGTGGATGAAATATTGATGGATAGAGCACCACCTTTGTCAAAACAGATCTACTTCTGTCAAATAGGAGTGGGTGACATCCCAAGGTTTGGAGACATGCCCAGTGGGTCAGTCCTTCTCTCCTTTTTTACTTTTTCTGCCCAGAGGTGCTCTGTGCAAATAACATGACTTTAGGAAACATAGTTTTAAAAATTTAAAATAACTTAATAAGCATTGAATTCTCTCTAGCCTCAATATCTTATGATTTCATGATCTAGACTTGAAGAATTCCTATGCTAACATGGAGTTTGTCAAATGACAGAATATGAAAATTCTTCAGGACATAACATTATGTCACAGAGTGGGTGGTAGGGTAGGGCAGAGAAACAAAAACCTATTTTACATTTCTGAACAAATGTGCTACATATGGATTATATTATCTTTCTATACAGATTTTGTTTCCCCTCACCACAGGCTAGTGTGGGAAGTGTTTGAGCATGGAACATTTTCTCAACTGCTTTTTAAAACAAACTATCAAATTATCTACTAGTAACTACAAAATCACAAGATTTTTAAACTAAGAAACTTATTAAAATAAACCAGTTATTTTGACATCATCATGGCTTGTGAAGTTCACTAAAATTCATTTGATAACCAGAGTTGAAGAAGTGTGACTTTTTAACCTATTAATGGTGAACTATTTTAACAACACTTAGTAAATAAGCTGATTGTTTTGTTAGTAAGAGAATCAAATTTTTTAAGATCACTTGAGGCATGAAATCAGAGTATTTAAGGTTACTCAGTGATGTTATATTTTTGAGAATTTCAGAGCTATTAATCTCATCCTATTACCCAAACTTTCATTTTTCACTTTTATTCCCACATTCTTGTTAAATAGTAATGAAGGCAAATAAATAATGCATTCAATTAGTTATGAACACAGCAATTAGTCCTAGATGAGGTTAGTCTCCCCAATAAAGACCCTTGTTTTAGTCAACTTTTATTCTCTGTTACCAAAATACTGACTAGGACAATGTAGAGGAAGACAATTTTATTTTATCTCATAGTTTCAGAGATCCATGGTCAGCTGACTACATTGCTCAGAGATTCAGTCCATGGTCAGCTGACACCATTGCTCTGGGTCTGATGTGAGGCCCAACATCATGGCAGAAGAGCATGGTGGAGGAAAACAGCTCAGGACATGTCAACCAAGAAGCAGAGAGAAAGGGAGAGTTCCACTTACTAAGGACAAGATATAAAAGGCTATACCACCAGTGACCTTCTTCCTCTAGTCATACCCTATCTGCCTACAGTTACCACCCAATTAACCCATATCAGTGGATTAATCCACAGATTAGGCTATGACTCTCACAATCTAACCATTTCACCTCTGAAGATTCTTGCATTTTCTCACACATAAGCTTTTAGTGGACACCTCATATCTAAACCATAATGATCCTAAAAACTCATCGCTGTTTTCCTAACTTGGGATGCACTATCCCTTTGCACTGACTTTGTTTTCTGTTAAAGAGTCATGGAGGCAAACTGCTGAAGTAGTTTGAATTCTTGAATCCTCTGGTGATGAGTATATGTAGACAACTCCTGGCAGTTCTGTCTAGATCCACCTTCTAGTTATCAACCAAGCTGGCATGTTCTCCTGGCAAGGAGAAAAGAAAGTCTCAAAGCAAAAACATTTAGTTCAGTGACCCTTAATTGATCAATGTCTGTTTTTTATACAGAATAGATGTTACAGTGACAGATTTCCAGGGACCTAGGCAATTCAGGGGTGGGGGCAGGAGGGGGAACTAATGAAGAACTATTTGTCTAAAGTCCAGAAAGTCTAGTTTACTAGGAATGAAGCATGCAATAGGATGCCCATCTTCCCAATGTATAGTAGCAAACTCTTAGACTTGTTGCTGATAAATGAAATTGATGAGAGCACAGAGCAGAAATGAGTGGAAGTTTCAAATCAAAGAAAGTATATCATGCAAATTAGCAATATACATACACTACAAAATGTACCAGATAATAGTAATACAGATTTAGACTAAAGGGAAAATACTATTTTAAAATATCCTCTTGGCATGAGTGTGCATGCTTGTGTTACGCTAGAATTTGGGACCCCCAAAAGACCACCAGAGACCAATATCCATGTAAACAGCAAAGAGGTGTTTATTGCGAGCTAGCTCTGTCCTCTGCGCACACACACAGCAACTGGTGATGCTGAGAGGCCCCTAGCCCAGGGTTTGCAGCCATTTTATACACTCTTTGGAGAAGGCAGGGACTTCACATACATCATAGCATCTCTTATCAAATCATCACACACTGCGGGAAAATCATAAAGCAACTCTAAAACATGATTAGCACATTCACTGGCGGGAACAAGTTGGGTAGGGGTGATTGGTTACTACAAAAGGGGGATTCATTTGAACTGATTGGTTTAAGCCAAGAGGGGTGTWCATGCTGAAYTACATGGTTTCCCAACAYGTTATCAACCACCATAAACTACTGGGAGGGTTATCTGGCATCCCAGGTATTTTCCCTGTCTCATGCTGATTGGTGGCTGCTAGGGGGTTGCTATGGGTCCCCACCTAGCCTGACTGAGTCAGGGACACCAGGTGCCACAGATCTCTCCTGTTAATTGTAGATAAACAACTCAGCAGGGTGGGTATGTGCCTAGGAGTGCTCTGTGAGTCTTTCCAAGGACAAAGTTGATGTCCCTTCCTTGGACAGGCTATTCTCTGAGGTAGAGGCTGGTTTTTCATTTGTACTGACACTAATGTCACATCACTAACCCATTTAGTGTAGCTATATGTAGGAACACTTTATGCAATTAGTAGATTGTGTGTTTTGAGGTAATGTGATCCAGCATATGGAAAATATAAATGGAATTAAGAAGAATGACAAACCTCTATACTGAATAATGTTTTACTACATGCCACATACATTTGTGTGTAGCTTTAATATTAAAAAATGGAGGGCATCCCTTTAAAACAAAAATAAGATATAAATATAAGATGTATCATGAAACAGTCTGATTTTTTTTAAGAACTGACCAATCCTGATTCTGTAATTCAAAGGTGTCATGTGACTGTTGATCTGGAAATGTTATATTTTACTCTTGTATAATCTAATAGCTTTCCAGCTTGCCTGAAGGTACCACCTGCAATAGGAAAGTCATTACTTGGTAGAGTGCTTTGACACTACTTTGAGAATGAAAAATCTTTGAGAAAATAAACTGTATGCTATCATTCAGTTCATGCAACATAACTCTAAGTCTCTGTACTATTATTATTGTTGTTTTCCAGCTCCTCTGACTGATAAGCCACCCAAGCTTTTGTATCCTATGGAAAGTAAACTGACAATTCAGGAGACCCAGCTGGGTGAGTAAATCCTTAATTCTAGTTAATACATTTTTTAGTATATTCTGACAGTTAATAAGTCTACATCATTACCATGTGATACTCTGAGCTAAACTCATGGGTATTTAAAGAGGACAGAATTAGGAAGTGCCAGCACACATGACATTCTGTTCTCTGCAAAGTACACATTGAGACCAAAATGGATATATGCTGTTTAGATGGTTATTGGGAAATGAAATAGGCTGATGATTTTAGCAATGATAGTATAGTATAATGTTATAATGTTTGAATTCTTTTTAAAATGGGCAATATGGAACTATTTTATAATATCTATTAATATATTAACATGAATTTTCTGAAATTCAGAGAAAAGGATGGAAGTTTACTAAAGTAAATGTTACCATTATGGCAAAAAAAAAAAAAAAAAAAAAGCATTTTAAAAATCTAATGCAGGGGCTGGAATTGTGGCTCAGCAGTAGAATGTTCACCTAGGACGAGCGGGACCCGGGTTCGATTCTCAGCAGCACATAAAAATAAAGGCATTGTGTTGTGTCCATCTAAAAAAAAAAAAAAAAAAAAGGTTCATTCTCTCTCTCTCTCTCTCTCTCTCTCTCTCTCTTTAAAAAAATCTAATGCAACATAATAGACATTGAGACATTGCGGTAATTATTTTAGATAATATATTACTTAAATTTGATCAAGTGGCATTTGGTTAAGGAACTAGGGGATTTGGACATAAGGCCATGGACAAAATACTCTGTGATAAAAAATATTCAGTTATACATGAATTAGAATTCTAAAATACTTATCTTAGACAAAAGTATAGGATTTTTTAGTCACTTAGCTATATTCAGTTATACCAAATTGTGGAAAATTTTCTTTCTTAATTATAAATATCCATTATATTCTCTTAGTTTTTATTTTAATTTGATATGTGGTATGTGTGTGTATACAAACACACACATATATATATATATTTCTCCACAAATGTCTATGGAAATTTTTCTTTTTTTTTTCTTTTGTACATCTTTATTTCTAAAATAGATGTATCAATTTTCAAAGTTTGGGTGATAATTTTTTTTATTGGTTGTTCAAAACATTACAAAGCTCATGACATATCATCTTCCATACATTTGATTCAAGTGGGTTATGAACTCCCATTTTTTACCCCAAATACAAGTTGCAGAATCACATTGGTTACACAT